TAGCATAATTGTCCCTTGGTGTACATAACTATATTCTTGGAAAAATCAGTGTGTATAAAAACCATGCAGGAAATAGTATGTGGGGGCCGGGGAGATGGCTCAGTGGAATAAGCGCTTCCCTGGCAAGCACTAAGGGCCTGAGTTCAATCCCTGGTTCTGCCAAAAAAAAAAAAAAAAGCAAATAGTATGTGATGAAATAGTCTTTAAATTATCTGAGCCAAAAATCAAACTATTTTCTACCCACAGGGATATCAGTGTGTTCATAATTTAGAGGAGGGGCCGGGCAGATAGCTCAGCAAATTAAAACACCTGCTTAGGCAGATGCAGGCACTGGGGTTCGATCCTTGGCTTGCTGTGTCAAACCCACCTCAGGGGCATGCTGAGAGGATGACTGAGACTGGGAGACCCTGTAGACCCTGTGCTAAATACATTAAAAAAAAAAATCAGAGGACGTGGAATAGTTCAGCTGTGCTACCTGTATCCTCAAGCAAAGAGAAATAGCTGATTCCCGATTCTTGCACATTAAGTGTGTTAGCGTTGTTGGTCACTGTAACCAGTAAAAATGCCCCCACGTTCCCTAAGGGTCAGGACTGCCTCTGTTGGAAGCCCCGGGTCTAGATGGCATTGTGGGTGCAAGCACCACACTGGGTGCAAGCAGTGGAAATGGAGTTTAGTGTCAGAGATGTGGCCTTGTGTGGCATGGCCTTTTGTCCCTCCTCTCGTCCCTAGACGCAAGGAGCTCAGGCAGGGTGCCATAGCCTGGCCTGGTGGGCCCCCTAACAGGCTTTTTTTTTTTTTTTTTTCTTTAGAAACGGGCCCTGGACGCCGTGGTCATTCTGGGAGGTGGAGGACTTCTCTTTGCCTCCTACTTGACGGCCACGGGGGATGAGCATTTCTATGCCGAATATTTGATGCCAGTTGTGCAGGGTCTGCTGGATGGAGAGTCTGCCCACAGGCTAGCTGTCCGTGTCACCTCCCTGGGGCTCCTTCCTCGAGCCACGTTTCAGGACTCTGACATGCTGGTAGGTCCTCTTGGAACCGTGGGGAAGGTTCAGTCCTCGTGCAGTTCTCAGTTGGGACTGAATTTTTGGAAACCAGAGCTCCAGGTTAGCGGAGGGAATTGCGCTCAATCTAAGCATTCATTTTGTATGACGTATAATCACATTTTTTCCCCCCCGGAACTGGGGATTGAACTCAGACCCTTGTGCTTGCCAAGGAAGTGCTTATTCTACTGAGCCATCTCCCTGGCTCTCATAATCACATTGTAATAGCAATTATATAACTTCATGGCCCCATCCTTAATCTCCACAGTGACTCCATGAAGGGGGTCCTACGACAATGCCTGTCCTCAAATGAGGAAACTCAGTGACTTGCCCAAACTCACACAGCTAGGAAGTGGCAGAACAGCATTCACCCTCAGGGAGTCTGGCTCTGGTGTCCAGCCCTGGCTCTGGTCTCGCCCTGCTGACCTCCGGAGAGGCTCAGTGCCCCCCTCTGCCAGGGGTGGGGGTGGGGGAAACATTTCGGGGCAGCAGCTGTGTCTCATTAGGCCCAGCCTCATCTCATTTGGCCACATGTTGCACACATGTGGCCCCACTGTATGCAGGAGCAGGCATGTCCTCCCAGGATCTGTGTCCCCATGGGAGGCCTAGCAGTTGCCTTCCTGGGCACTTCTTACCATGGGGGCCAGCAGGAGGATTTGAACATGAAACAGGAGCAAGTGGCCCTCAGACTTCCTTGGGGTGAAAAGGTCTGAATTGAAGGCTC